TATGAACATGCTTGTTGATTAGACTTTGAGTTGTTCATCAAAGTGCCACCTGAAGAAAATAGAAACAAAGGCTTTAGTTTCAATTTAAAAAATCATGGATTTTGTATAAAGGACTTTGTGAAAAAAATTAGCATTTTTTTAGCTTTTTAGAGTTCTTGGGGGCACAAAACAATGGCTTTTATTTTGGATGCCACTTGCCAGTCAAGGAAAGATATGAATTTTTTGCTTGTTCACCACTAGATGGAGCTGCATTGAGGTCAAATGCTTGTAAATCATTAATGTGGATTTACAACATTCACAAGGCTTAAAATCTAATGATTATGTGAAATTTCCAAGAGATCTGTTGGGGCCAGTCCAACATGGCTTAAAGTACCCAGTATCTTTCATTGAGTTCCTCTATATTCACCTCAGTATTTGTGAGATTCTGTTCCACCATGGCCGAAACCACCAGGGCCAAAAAGAGCTGCATAACAAGGTTTGTTACAGTAGGGCTTGCCGCCATGCTGACAATACAAGTTGATAAATATATGTTTTAATAATAATAATGGTATTTCTAGGTCTGTGGAGCATAGTAAAAAGCCTGGGGGGACTCCCTAATAAAAAAGGGCGTGGGTCCTCATCGTCCCTTTTAGGGTTTGAAATCAGTGTTTTGGTCCAGCTTAGGGTGATAAAGATGAGAATTCCCACCAACTGAGTTTTGTGGTCCCTTTTAGTGTATACGATGACCCTAAGCCACCAATATAAGATCAAAAACAACTACAACATCGTCATAAACTCAATCGGAGCTGACAGCATTTTATGCTTGTGCAAAAACACAAATAAAATCGGGAAACCAAACCAAAATGACCTGTTATTGATTGGTCTCTTTTAGGGTTGAAATTTCAGCACTGCCACGCCCATCATCTCACAATAGAGGTCCCTTTTAGGGGTCATTTTCAGAATTTCTGACGAGGGCCCCTACCCTTTTTTATTAGGGAGTGCTCCCCCGAAAGTAGGAAGTTTTGAGGAGATTTGAGGGGAAACCATGCAAAAAAGACGACAAACTTTACTTGCAGGGTAAAAAGAGATTGCTAAGTTAGGAGTACATAGGGTCATATGTTTATAACAGTGGCAACTTATTACAGAGGTAGAATCCGGTTTATCAGTCTACTTACCTCTGCATGACTACCAGAAGATAAGGTTTTGCCACATTTTTCACACTTCAAGCATGGTCTGTGCCAATCCTTCCCCAATGACGTGACCTTTTCAGCTTGAAAAGAAATGGTATTTTATCCTCAATGGTTACAATGTCATTGAAAAGGAAAATCAAACATTAAACAACGAGAAGATCCCTCTAGTTGAACTGTCTCAGTCTTGCCACTTATATCAGGAACGTCTTACTTCCATGACAACATGGATGATATTTCACTGTCACTTATACTTCAAAGCCTTAGGTATGCAAAGTCCCCTCTCCCTCCCCTCCCCCTTCACTCTAACCCTGCCCCTCCCCCCTCAAAATCCTCAATGAAGGTGTGCCACAATAGAAGTGTTGAATATAATTCATGGGCAAACTTAAGAAGACCGATAACTGAGCAAATGTTAAGGGTTATTAACTGTCACGGGATGAAGAATAACACAAATAAAATCGCAAGCCTTAAAATAACTTCAAATTCGATGCTACTTGAAATACTGAATATTTGCGTCGTTAATTGACAAAGCAATTCAGTTATAAACACGCAATATTTTTGGGTTTTTTTCGCCCGATATTACAGTACAAAACTGAGATTTTTCGTGCTAATGCGCTCTGGATAATATTAGCTATTTTCTTGAAACTGAAAGATTTTCACGAGCAGAAAGAAAAATATTTATGCTGATATCTATTATTTGAAAACACATTTTTCTTCGGTTTATGCTCAATTCAATAAATCCTGGTTTTCTCTAGATTTTAGCACTGTCCTAAAAGCAACAAGTTCTTTGGGAAACGACTTCAATAACTTAAATGTTCCAATCTAATTAATATTTCAACAACAACACCAAAAATGCATCGAAACTGTACTGAAAATCGCCATCAAAACACGAATACATCAACCAAAATAGTTCAAAATAATAAACTGCTTACCAAAATACACTTCTTTGTTGCAATTTGGACACTTTGGCATGTTGATCAGCTTGTAGAATCCCTCTTTTCGATGACGACTTTTCAACAATGTTAATATATGGCTTAATTCATCAAGCGCACGCACTATCCAAGTAGATACAGCGCTTTACAAAAAAATTCTGTAAAAATATAAAAGTGTACCTTATGGGTAATTTCCATTTAAAAATTGGCTAAAAAAAAACCAACCTAAGCAAAATGTGCAAAATAATTTTTCCATGTGTATTTCAGATACCAATTGGATTGAATGTTGGATTGAGCATTAGCGATTAGAAAAATATTAGCACTTTATACGCATATTACTATAGTATATCCATATCGATATTCATAATTTTACAGAATCTTTGCAAAGCGCTGTAAATTCCAAYAACTGTCACTCCCATAAACACCCCCTCAGTCACGCAACGCACGAAAACAATGTAACGCTAAAAGAATTCAGAGAAATTTGTAGACTTTTCTTCCGAAAGCAAAAGAATTTTGAAGTTGTAGCATTGTACCAACATGATTTTATATTTCTGGCATATTTTTGAGCTATATTAATGAACTGTTTTGGAAAAAAACATTATAGATTTTTCTAGAGCTCTGCACAACATTCCTGGCACTCTTTCAGGAGTACAATTGGCATATGAAAGCAGAAATTACCGGGGGAATCCATGCGCTCAAAAGATAAATTGAGCAAAAGATTATAGATATTCTATAAAGGCGATTATTCTGAAATGCTGTCGAATRGCATGCCCAAACAATGATCCAGTTKTGAATAAGTTGTTATTATTTTAATYAATACATAGAATATGRTKTTTTGAGATTTTTTGAAACTTAAAAAAAGTTGTTTACAGTATATTGTTAATCCCCCCTTTMTCCCAAAAATAAATTATTCACAGACAAAAGCGACAAAGCATGCTAACTGTGMTAAGTGACGGGTATGACGTAAAGTACTGATGTCATCAAACATAGCAGCCCTTATTTGGGCATCTTTAAATACCTAAGCCAAGTTTATACGGGATGCGGGCAAAGCACACAAAGTTAAGYATAAAAGTTTGTATATCACATTAAAGAAAGCATTTTGAGATAAAAAACAGGGAAGGACTACTAACAGTTTTAAAACTTTGTATCAAAGAAATCATTTTTGAAATAATATAATTGTAAAAAAGTAAATTTATCAATCAAGCAGTAACAGTATTGAAAGTATTAACAGATCATAGGGAAGATTCTAGATTAAGAATGTTTTTAATGAATCAATTACCACAAGACTCTAATGTTGAGCATTCAAGATTTCAGACTGCTGAAGTGTATCAAAGTGTATGAATTATTTTAGAAAAGAACATAGTTATTCATAGTTATTCATGTTGCTATTTTTAAAGCAAGAGCAATGATGATGATTATCATCTAGCTCTTGAATTATTTATTTTTTAACAATTAGTWATTTTTCATCATTATTGTATTTTGTAAAGAGGTGCAATGGTTTGTTAGCCTCCTCCATAGTTTCTATTTCTTCTCAAATAAATATTGGGCTTCCTGTATCCTATTTCTTCCACAGGGAACCCAACATTTCTTAAAAGAGCCATGTCAGTGATATTGTAACCTTAGCAACAAAACCCATTCCCAGTGAAAAATGTGAACTATTGAATGGGGATATTCCAGTGAGAAAATACACATTCAGATTCATGTAACCCATAAAATTGACTAAATTGATTGATAATATGAAACTRCCATTGATACTGATGATTAATAATCAGTTCCATCATCAAGTTGTCAAGGAAACCTCCTCTCAAACTACTGACTAGTATTCATCAGTATCTGTTGCTTTTAATTCAGAATTATTTATTTTAATATATTCTAGATTTATACCATCATTCAGTTGTAAAGTGTAAACTGTCCAAATATATTACCACAACATCATTTTACAAATAATTTTTGTGAAAATGAAAAAACTTAAACTTAATAATTCATGAACAATAACAATCACAATGAGTCCTGCTTTTAATCTGTTCAACTCTCAAAACAAACTTACAATAAAAACAAATTATAATATAAAAAGATGTTTTGCTCTTCATTAAGGAACAAAAATCCATTGAATTAAATTTGTATTTTAATTTGTGTTTTTGAGACCAATACATTCATAGTTATTCTTGTAATATTTTCCCATTAAAATATTAAACTTCTTCACCTTTTTTCAGACTTAGCAATAATGGGCCTGCTTCCAATTTTACAGTAATTAAAAATAATTTTTTTTCTTTTTTTTTTAAATAATTTTTGTAGTTTGTTTTGTTTTCTAAGCAGTTCAATATTTTAAGCATTACTAAGGACCATTTAGGATTCATCAAGTAATTTCAACACTTCCGATCCTGTATCAATATCTAAATGTTCATTTTTACTGTTTTCTCTACACATCTCTTGAAAAAATCGCTTGAAAAATGTAAACACATTATTATTATTGTTTTTGAAATGTGGTTGATAAGTGGTAAGTTTAACTTGCCAAAAAATTGAATTGTGTTCAAATCCAGGCTGTCATTTTACCATTTCATGATTCTTCCTCTCCCTCAATTATTAAAATGTATAATACACAAGGAAAAGTGATAGCAATTCACCAAAAACGTGACTAAAAATGTTTGAATCAAGACTTTATTTGCAAGATCTGTGTGTTTATAAATAAGGGCTGAGATATTGTGCTCGACACTTATTGAATGTCATTCATTAATGAAAAACTAAGTACATTATATTAGCTTATCACAAGAGTGTGTATATAAGTTATGAAGTCAACTTTGAGTTGTCTGAAAAACAAGAAGGAAGAGGGTAAAACAAAATGAGCCATTTTATAGTGTGAGTGTGAACTACATTGCTAATAAAATAGTGCTAAATATGTTAATTCCTCTTTTATCATGTAAATTTGTAATAACTTATTAGTATCACAATAATGTTTCACAAGTGGTTCAATTTGCACCCTTATGCTAATCCATGAAAGCTTTAAGCAAAACTTGCAAAACCTGAGGTTATTATAAAATTTGTATAACTGTCTATTAATCTGAGTTTTCCATCATTAAAAAAATCCTAAATAAAAATTATTTATTAGGCCAAAAAAAATTACAAGATTTTTTTAATTTATACGATATTTATAACTTAACAGTAGAATTTACCTAGTAATATTATTTCCATATGTTAAACAGTCGGTGCATTTTACCTTATCATACCTTAGTAACCTCTAGTATTTGTATGATTCAGTTCCACCCCTKCCAAAACCACCAGGTCCAAAAAGAGCRGCATAACAGGGCTTGTTACAGTATGGCTTACCGKCATGCTGTAAATAAATAAAGATAGAATTATAATTTTTTAATGTATCTGTAATGTYTTCATTCATAAGTGCTTGAAGTTGGTTTGTTTTTTTCTCTAACAGGTTTTTACAAACTTAAATGCAATAGTAACTTTTATAAGAGTTATGGAGTTGCACTTCTTGAGTTCAATAAGTTCTGCGATGAATATTAACTAGCACATACAAAATCCAGAAAAATATTCAACTGTAAACATGGCTTGATTTTGCGCATCAYACACTTAAATTTTTTACAACTGAGTTTAGATCATGTATCATGCAAGAGCTCAGTTTTTTGCATTAGGAAGAGTTGACCCAGTTTTCAGAGTTTTGGTGATAAAATTAAAAAAATTAGAAAAAAAATGAATGTTTTACATGTACTATAAAATGCAATTCAGTGATCTCAAGACTTAATTTGGTATGTTTTTCACAAAAATTAATTATCAAAACAATACTAACAATAGCCTTAGATTTAGAGCATTCATTTTTAACTTCAAAGTAAATTAACATATTAATTATCTGCAGTGTTTTGGAAGCAGTTTTTCAAGGTAAAATGGAAATTACAACAAAWTGTAGGGTTAATTTGTGCAATAATAGGAAAGATACAATATATTGTCTTTTGACATACCAGATTTCATTTTTTTATTGTTTTGCATTGGAAATAACATTAGAAAATAAAGGTTAGRCCTGATGACAGCTGTTATACAGCCAAGTGGAATTAGTGCCAAATATCATCACAAAAACTAACAAAATTGTCATAATGATGGGGATTAAACTCACCATTTAAAATAAATCAAAGCWAATGACRAATCATTATTTTGAAAATTCCACTAAAACTTTGATCMAAATTGTTTTTCTGACCCCAAACATTTTGCAAATCCCATCCTAACCCTCCACCCCMAAGTAGAATGCTACAYWCAAGRTTCTCTATSCTTAAATGTTTTAAAATTATTTTCTGATATTAAAATGTGCCAACGCCTAKCTAGAATTACGTCTAAACACTCTTGGCTTTATGATCATATAWATACATTTTTCTTGTATTTTTGGAGAAATAGCTGGACGATCCAGTGGCCCTTTACCTCTGCGTGGCTTCCAGATGTCAGCACTTTCTTACATTTTTCGCACCGCAAACACGGTCTATGCCAGTCTTTTCCCATCGAAGTGACTTTTTCAGCTAAAAAACGCAAAAAAAAAAAACACAAAAATCAATTAAGTAAACGATTCTTTTCAATCAAAGAAATGTACATTKCTCCGTTGTGACCTGGAGACACAATCGTACAAACAAAGAATGTCATAATCTCWCATAAAATTCGCATTTTCGGGTCAAAAGCCAGTTTTTAGCTTTCAGATAGCATTGACTTCATTCMCACAAAGTGAAACCGTTTAACAAGGGGACAAAAAAACAGAAGAACAATAAAAACGCGCGCTAAAAAAATCCAAACAATAGCTAAAGCTCAAAAATAAAGATTGCTTAAACCTTGACCAAACAATAACTTGTGCAGCTCAAAAAACTCACCAAAATAAACTTCTTTGTTACAGTTTGGGCACTTRGGCATTTTGGAGTACTAGATGAGAGCTAATGAATTAGAACGATAGGCGATTACCGCTTCGCTGCGTTCAAAGATGGCCGATCAAGCGAATGACCAAATGAATAAATAAGATGTCACTTTGCAAATAAAGTCACACCCAARTCAAAAATACCTWCGCTAGACACCACTTTCTTCGTGCGCTTATTGGATTACTAAATGACTAATTTTCTCCTCATGAATGCATGATTAATGAAGGATGAATTACATTTGCAAATCGAAGAAAATTCCTAAAGAGAAGTCAATGAATTCAAAAGATGGCGCGCAAATACCACAGGGAGCCCAATATTTTTGTAACTCGGGCTTCCCGGAAGTTCGATCAAGCAGCACAAAGTCGGAYTTCGTGTATAGGGGCAATATGCACTGTGTGATGGCAATATGTATACGTCTCGTAATTTTTCTGCWTCGCCTAGAAGTGCTCGRCCTCGAGTCTATAATTTTCGCACTCAGCAACTTGCAACTAGTCATTTCCTCAATAAACGCATCGCCGATTTCTCGTCAGTTGTTTTCGTCATTTTGAAATCGTTTTGCAAGACGCCACCGCTAGACAAGATTGTACAGTACATCGCTGTGTTTCTGCTAATTCAGACCGCGTTGAATACAGCAATACTGCATATCAAGACCGCAATGCATTGCTGACATAGCTCCACCCGAGCTTCGCTTGTGAACTTCTTGACTGCGAGCTGGTATAATCGTTCTAAAACCACGAAAAAACTCCTTTTTTACAGCGCCGACCAACAATGTGTTTCGGTATTCGGAATACACTATCCCGTATAAGTATTCCACTTTCTGAAATAGCTGTACACAACGTGCAATCCTACGCGTTATGCKTTACAAACTGTTTGTTCGTGGGCTTTGCAAATCAAGTGATTCAGCCAATCACAGGTTTGCATAGACAACKTTTTTTGAAACTATCAGACTTGTTACATAGGCTCCGAAAAACGGATGCTTCGGAGGCTACAGACTTCAAGCGGACCCTTAAGATGTGGTACACATACTAAAAGCGACCGCGCCCCTGGGACGAGAAAAAATATGATGATGACGAATAGACTAGTCTGTCTAAATATATTGTAACACAATTAAACTTCTTGATAAGCTTTCAATTTTATTCACAATATTTTCAATGCTATAAAAATGCATAGCTCAATGAAACGAGCTCAATATAGTATTTCTGTATCTTGGTTCGTCTATACTCGGGAAGAGCTATGCTCGGTTCAGGTTTTATCCTTCATAACGTATAACTTTGTCAGCCCATTAATGAGCTTATAATAGAAATAAAATTGAACTTGTATGAGAAACAAAAGTATGCATGTCTTGATGTTTGGTAGTAAAAATCATTATTATGTTAATAACTCTATAAATCTAAAATATACTAGCTTTTCGTATGGTCTATGATACAGTATTAAATTAAAAATTACACTATGAAGTTCGTTGGATGGGATATGATACAGATGGGTATCCAATTCAACGAAAAACGAAAACTCTTTTGTCAAAATATACACAAAATGAGACTTCTCTTGGCAAATATTTCATGTAAATTCTTAAGTTTTCCAGCAAAAAATTAATTTATATAATTTGCTATGTTTCTGTACTATTTGTTGTTGTAGGGGGAGGGGGTGGGGAAGTTGAACTTCCTCTAATGTCTACATTTTCACTGTCTGTGTCTGCAACTCCRCTTGCAGCAGAAATACCATCAGCCCCTCCAGCGACAAATCGTATACATTTCTTTTTCCGCCTGAAAGAAAGAAATATTCTTTAGCGTCTAATATCATAATACCATAATAATTTATCAAAACTTTAAATATCTTAAACAATATCTTCTACTGTTGTTGGTTCATATATTTTTATTAATTCTTCCAATTTCTCTAAGCATTTTAATCTGGTTCAACTGGTTTTCCTAGCTCTAAGACTAGCTAAGATATACACTAACCACAGCGAGTACACCCCCCCTGACACACCAGTTGGATTGGTCACCCCCCCCGACACACCAGTTGGATTGGTCACCCCCCTGACACACCAGTTGGATTGGTCAGAGTATTCATTCACTCATTCAATCATATATCTTTCATTCATTTAGTTATCCCTCCATCCATATTTTCTTTCATTTCCACATTTATTCATTCTTTCATTTATGCATTTTCTCATTCATAAATAACTGAATTCACCTTTTAATTTATTCCTAAAATTAACCTCTATATTAACTCATAATTCATTCATAAATGTATTCCTTCATTGACTAAACCTCCAACACAGAACATTGCATAATAGACTGTAAGCTGGTGATTATAATAGACACATTAAAAAAGACTCAGCAGGACATTAATTAGCATAACAATTTTAGCAAAACATTAATGGAATATTGCCTTGAGGGGTTATGAATATAAATGCAAYAAGCATAAATCACACAACTCTTAGAGGACACAATGAAGACACCAAATATTTATGTATATTGGATTCCAACATAATGGTTATAGTTGTCAAAGCATTACACCTTGAATATAAGTTTAAATATCCCTACAAAAATAACAAATTAAAATTTTATAATCTGACCATGCATCTTTCTAATAAATCTATTTATTTCAAAGTTTGAAGAAAACTGTTTTTGTTTAAACTGTCTGAGCGAAATTACCACAGAAGCCGACATGAATTGAATAGAATAAAGCACTTTTCACTAAGAGATACCACAGGAAGTAGATAGACAATTAAGCCACAAATTGATCATATCTCATTGTAGACCTCCAGTAAGAATAAAAGGATAATTGATATGACACTTATATGCCTTTTTGCATGCATAATACACACAGTTTCTACATAACAATATTGCATGGCAAACAAGCTTACTTCTCTATTCAATTTACTGTTGTAGTTCAACGGTACCTTGAACTTTGCAAAACAGTGAGGAATATATAGAGTTTGTGATAAGATAATGAAATTYATAGGATAAAGGTATCCATCAGACCTCACCCTACTGCAAAGTCATGGCTATCTTTGAAGAGACTTAGAACAGGAAGACAGTCTATTTCTTTTTTAGCGGCATCAACCGACAAAGAGTGYAGACATTAGACCAGCGACTTGATGGTGTTATTTTGTTTTTTATTATTTGAAGTCAGGTGGTTGATTGACAATATCTTSGTTACTCACCTGCAGGGCTTGCACCATTCGTTTTGTCTATCTAAACCATATCTCGCTCGACATTTTTTAGGATTTGTTATTTCTGTTAATAAGAAAATAATATCTTTTATTTACATGTAAAAACAGAACCCACAAACACATAACAATTGTTTTATAATGACACATTAAAGTAACAATGGAARTTATATATACAAACTTACTGAACTGGATAACACAACTAAGAAATAAATGGATGAATAAAATATGGGAAAATGAAAATAATAAAGGAATGAACAATTGAACCAAAATGGAAGTGTAAATGAAGAAATGAAAAGTTATCCTGTTTTTATGGAAGAATGTGAACAGGATCTGCTCTCAGAGATTTGTAATAAAGCATGGGTTGTGCGTAGGGCGGATAAATCGTTATCAGCTCCATAGATTGTATATGGGATWTTATCTGTTGGATAAGRATTTATCTAGTGGATAATGCTATCCCTGTTCATACAACMAGCCCTGGTGGTAWGATTTACCTTGAGATTTGTCTCTTTTTCTCTTCTTCTTCTTTCCTTGCTGCGCATAATTGTCCCGTGCACTCCAGCCTGGATATAACTGCATGTGAAGCGCTCTTTCCTTGCGTGCCATTTCATAATATTTAGCCTGTTCAGACCTTTCTAGTGCATGCCACTGAAACAAATGACAGAGCGTAATGGGTGGTTTCAGGATCAGGAAACACAAAACAACAGTTTGARCAAATGCTTTGAAACAAAGACTTCAGCTTCTTGAACCTCCTCAAATAAATTGCTTATTATTTCAATGCAATAATTTGGAAACTGATCAGCAAAGTAAACAAAAACAAAATCTAAAGCAGGAGTTGCTGTAATTGCAGGTTAAAAAAAGAACAAAAACACACAAAACAATACAAAAAAAATCTGATTTCTGATAATTGTCAGGATTGGTATTACAGCAAACTAAGGTAAAACATTAGAAAGATGATTCTGAAGTAAATCTCCACACATTACAACCAACCTTCTTTCCAAGAATTTGATTTATAGCTGCGCTCTCTTTTAATGTACATTCTGCTACTACTTTTGGTCGCATATCCTTCATGTATAGCATAAACGCATTTAAAGGYTTTTTAACATGYGATACTGGACTCTTTGGGCCTCGCATTGGACTCATAACATCTCCCATCATAGTTGTCGAATATGATCTATGAATAAAAGATTGTTAGTTTATACTTCATACAATAGATAAGGACTGACTGATTGGATAAGTGAATAAATAAATGGATGGATGAACAAATGGTTGGGAAAATGAATGAATAATGGTCTGGATAAACAAAAAGGAAGAAAGAATGCATGAATGGATGAATAAGTAAACAAATGGATGACTAGATGGATAAATATATAAACAAATAGTTAAAAGAACGGATGGATGTAGAAAGGGATGGAAGAATTAATGGATGGATTAATGAATAAATGAACAAACAAATAGAAAGATCAGCTTACTTTTCTGATACACAAGAGGGCGGGGCTCTTGCTATAACACCATGGTTAGGYGGAGGTGCAGGTCCACAATGCCTCTGGTCGTTTGTCATGGTAGGATGTGATAGTCTATCCATTCCTGCTGTTGTCGCGGTAACTGGAGGTGGATAACTCGGATGATAAGTTGGTGAGCCCTGTCCAATCATGCCCCCTCGTGGTTGCCTAGCAACAACATATAGCATTATGATGAAAGAGTTTTTAGTTGACAACAATTTCAATTAATGATAATAATAATTATGTTAATGATGATGATAGATGAAAATGATGACTATAATCATGATGAAATCATTAATGATGATGATAAGTAAATGATGACAGATACATGACAAGTGACCACCATCCCAAGAAGATCATATGATAACAATTAATGATGATGATAAGTAAATGATGACATAGATACATGACAAGTGACCACCATCCCAAGAAGATCACAWGATAACAATCAATGATGATGATTAACAATGATGATGTTGAAAAAATAACTTCATCAATGGCCATCACCAACAAGCATCCCCAACTTTTATTCACGTTTTGAATATAAGAATATATTGATATGTAAACTAAAACATTATTCTCTTTTATGATTCATGAATGGAGATATTGATAGATTTCCTAATGGGTATTTGACACCTTGTTTTCTGTATCTGAAGAATCTGAATCATGACACCATTGAAWACGTTTTGAGATGGATCTTTCAAGTTTGTATTATCATGCTTATGCTTACCACAATGCAGGGTCGTAATGATATCTTTCAGCTTTAATCCCCTGGTAGAGATACTGATACTGGTTGCCATGGTAACCAGGATGTCCAGGGTGGAAGACTACTGACTGTTGCTGCCCCCTTAAATGTTTGCTTTCCCCTGAGTGGTTTCTATGGTAACCATGTCCAGGTACTAACTGTTCGGTATATTTGTTTGGAAATTGTAATAATTGAGCTATTGGTGCTTTGCTTGAGTCTGTAGGTGCTTTGGGTTCCTGAAAGGAAAAAAAAAAAAAAAATGAAAAAAGTCCACTTTCACCAAATATYAGTAATAACATTTCAGGGTAGGGCAATTATGAATTAAAAAAATATAAAATCACTTTTCAGGGATAATATTAAGTTATTAAGACATAAAAAAGCAATTTAAGAATTTGCTCTCAAATCCTTCAGAAAAACGAAGACTATTGGTGCACTCACAAACAAAGCTGATTCTAAAAAGATTTGGTCTTAACTTTATGGTAACCCCCTCTCTAGTACATTTTACATGCTGAAATGTCGTGTTTTAACTAACTCAGACAGTCTCTAATCAGTTCATAAGCTGTTTTTTATAYATCGGCTTAAAATAATTAAAGGCAATAGGGTCACGTAACCTGTAAACTTGGAAAAAATGTCCTTTGAACTAATGACCAATTACTAGTATCAGCTAAGTTTATCGACATTGCTTTTTTTTTATAAAAGAAACAAGTTAGCAATGGTTGCATTTGTTGGTTCAAGCCAATAAATAGTAATCCTGCATTCTGACTGGATTGGGTATTGAGGAGAATTAGTCTATAGTGACTCTTTGTTATTCACGTGTCAATSAGAAAACAATAATTGGTTGTTGAACAARGCAACTTGTGAAAAGCTTTTGTGAACGGCATACCAAATGAGCGGCATTTTGAGACTATTTCATTTTMAAWTTTTAGTTTAAAAGTTTACAAATAATTACAAGGAGATTGTTATATTTATGATAACAAACATTCACAATTGGACCYCACAGTCTTGACAACAAAGAGGATGTATAAATGGCATTTTCCGTGGTCTTGTTTACTTCAGATTTTACCCATAAAAATCAAACATTCATGTCAATTCAGAAATGAAAAAAATCATCAAAAACATGTAGAAATGCAAAAGTTTCAAGTCATGATATTATTATAAGATAAACAAACCTCCATTTAAATTCAATGATACKTTTTTTTAAGATTCGTTCAAGGAGAAAATACTTTGTCCTGTGTGTCAACATCCATTCTTCTTCAACAAGAAACTTCACACATTTACTTCATTTTAAGAGTTTTTCTTCTTAATTTCTGGAAATGGATTCCATGCGTCATATTGATGTAGCAGAGATGGAGTCACATGATCGGACAGCATAAATTGCTTATTAGGGAATTTGAAAAGATTAACCTTGAATTAGGTGGATTTTGAAAAGAATTCCAAAAAAACATTTGATGTGAAAAAAGGCACTAATGGGCACGATTTATGACAGTGCTGTTCAATAACATTTAAATGAAGCAGAGGGGGTTACGTCCTTTGATCATGGCTTAAGTAAAAGTCCCTTGCTGTTAAGCACCTGTACATATACTGGTTTTAAATAACAGCTGTAATTACTAAATGTTCCTTTATCATTTGGAAACTTWACGTCTGGTAACTACTCCTAGTTATTTCTAGTGGAAAAGATTAGTTTTTACTGGTACCAGGATTCCTAAATACTTTACAAGAAAAATTTAATTTCTATAGGATGAAATTTTAATGGGTTTAGCACTTTTTTGATTAGAAACTTGACAGAAATATAGTTATTTTGAAGTAGAAGTTTTTTTATCAATAAAGGTTTGTGTTTTTTTTTGATAAATCTAGCAATAGGGTGTGAAATTCAAAATTATGATCAAAGAAAAAAACGAAGTTGTACTTGTGAAAATATGAACAAAAACTGCTCTTTTTCAATGAATTGTTCWTAGGACACGATTCTGTCCATGTAACAAGATTCCCCACTGAACTATTTGGGTTTTTTGCTTGTGTATTTTCATAAAAACAATCTGCTTTGATAAAACAAAAACGGGATTTTTTCCAGACAGATGTATGTTCACATACAARGACGATTTTCTTAAGAAAACGCGAAGAAAAATTAAGCCAAATTTGTAATGCTAAGATGGTTAAAAACTGGTTGGATAAGTCAGAAAGACGACTTCGAGTGTATTGTTCTTTTTGACAGAGAACAAGAATAAAAAACAGTGCAAATCTCATGCTGTTCCACGTAAATGGCTAAGACTACARAAGCATACAACTCAGCGAGTCACATAGAGAAACGTTTTGTGATAACTCGATAGTATTCGTAACCGAAGGTCAAGGAAAAACGAACGCTCATAATATCCCAAAATCAAGAACAAAGAGAAAATAAGCGATCTCGARTTTCTCTGAAAAACAACACAACAACATTTCAAAATAACACCTAAACAACAAAAATTGTTCTTTTGGGTTTGTAGATGGGTAAATTCTTTTAAAGGTTATTGTCGGCTTTTGTTTAACGTGGCGTTAGTCAGAGGAAAAACGTTGGACGATCCTGTGGAATGAACGATGTTCTTCCAATTTGCAACAAAATATTAACCATCAAGATATTWTMMTTTACTTTATTCGTATTAAAGAAATAAAATCGTGTCCATGAGCAATCGATCAGTTTTGGAATATTCTTTTGAATATAATTTTCATTATACAAACTGTTTCTGAATAGCGTAAAAACTAAACATTAGCTCTGCAACACCTCTGAGTTTACAGAAACATTTGAAGTTTGTTTGGCTTTATATTCTGAACGTGTTTTCCACTTGTGGCGATCAATGAACCTTGAACGAAACTCTCAAACGAACACTAAAGACGTAAGTACATCAAACTATTTCAAACACCTAGCATTAGTACAATGTAGAAGAACACTTGATCGCACGAGACATTTCACCCCGTCCTGAATGGCACTCAAATGGCTTTTTTGTCTAAAACCAATCGAATAAAACACTGATAAACTCGAAGGAAAAAGCAACTAGTTTACCTGGCAACCTTTAAACGCCATCGTTTGTGTCAATGATAGGATATTCTGGGACTTTTTTCCCGAGAGACATTCCGGAAATTGATGTTTGAAGTTAGGGACGTTGCGCTGTTTTGGTTGCAAAGTGAAAGTCGATTTGAGAAACATACGAATGGCTTTCTAAGTATTTAATAGCTTGAAATCTTTGTTATTTCTTTTCTTTTTCTTTTAGAGCTAGGAAAAGGAAAATCGCGTGCTGATGTGGAGTCACTTTAGAGGGATATATAAACGACACTCAAATATATACAATCAGAGTACATAACCTGTAGAAACAAAATAGTTCAAGTAACAATTAAAAGTTAACCTTGTCAGCGCATTTTCAGATTGAACTGAAGCGATAGTACAAAATGTTTTTAGAATGAATGAGGCTAAAATAAGCATCACCCTGACTTGCATAACMGCCTCGTCCCAAGGGCATAATTTACGACGCTGGAGACGGTTTTACTAGTGAAAATTGCGTTATTTGAAGAGTTTGACAAAAAGTCGGTGCAACAAGAAAAAAACCCATTTGAGTTAAGAAATTTGATACTCGGCAGCAATTATATGTGCTAAAAGATCACTCAATGTAGCTAGAGTTCTACTGATCACGCTGATTCTGTGTTTAAATTGATCTCTGGCTTAAAAGCTGACTAATACGCTAGTTTAAGGCTCCTTGGGCATTAAGAAAGCCATCGTACACCGAGTACTTGTCAGAAGTCTTTTGAGCCCATGTATATAAGTAAAACTCTGATGGTCTGTCGGCTAGCGGAAAGGCCGCTAAAACTTTGTGTCGGCATCCTTTGAGAAGAAGTACCGCGAACGCTGAAATTTTGAACTTGGAGCCCGGAGTATAAGTTAAAAATCCCATAGACCTTTCAAACTTGCACAGAAAAGCGAAATGGTCTCGCAGAGTGTTGTGGCGAAGTTTGGCTCGATTCCGCGAAATTCTGGTAATTCTACGAGTAAATTGCTGTAGTTTATTTACTATTTTGTGGAACAATACGACTCTATTGCCCTTACTTTTGAGCCTTGCCGCTCATCGATGCGGAGTCACATTGGAGAACTATGGCACTTCGAAAGCTTGGATTATTTGCGCCCCAAAAGCACATGTATTTGTATATAGCAGTACAGTTACTACACAAGAGCTACAGACTTAGGTAAATTATATAACAGTGTGCTACCTCTTGATGTTCGGCCTCTTTCTTGATGAGATCGGTTTTAATGTCATTGACTAGGTCTAAAGTGGCACCATTTTCGTGTTCCTCTCCGTCCTCATGTCTGTATTCTTTCACTTCATCATCGGCTCCAAAATCGTCCGTTGAGCGGCGAGTCGGCTGAGGCATCCTAGCCCCGCACGGTTTATTGAATTCTTATGAAACGGCTTTAGGAAAAGTTTCTACTCCTCTGTGTCGGTCGTGTTCGTTGTATGTGTACGAGATATGTAGACACGGCGGTACTTCAAAGACCGTCTTCAAAGGCGCACCGCTTTATGATTGACAGAGACTAATCACACAATCACAGGCTTTAACCAATCACAGCCCGGTAAAAGCAATTATGCGCGTGCGTTGTTTCCTTCGGGTTCGATGTTCGTCCAACCCCTCTGAACGGGTTTATCGCGCAAAATGTGTCCTAAATTCTTTTTTTTCCTTGCGAGAAACCCTCGATATCCTTGAGATATATTTTAAGTATTCTRTGCGTAAAGWATATTAGTTGAAATCGACTTTGCGCTACAAAAAAACCGTGAACAAGAGAGTTTTGTCAAGCTCATTGTTGATGTATAAATGACTTTGCTACTCCAGTATTGCCGACTGTGACAAAATACAGTTTCAAAATTGCTCATTTTAGTTCGAAATTCTCATAACAACATTGTTTAGTCAATGTTAAAGGTCTTGGCACGAATTTCTTCTTGTTATTTCCCTGAGATGAGATACATCAAGGAACGATTCGTTAGCCGTACGTGACTCAAGACCAATGTGTTGCCAGGGTCATCCAGTGACGACACGGTATAACTCATAAAAGGGAAATGCCAAGGTTTCACTAGACCACGCTTTCCGCAAACTCATACTATCGCTACAAAGACGTGTTTTTAACAGATATCTTAGACTTTTGTTTACTTCACTTCAGTGAACGTTAGTTCGTATATAGTGGGCCCGYGCGTGGCATTTCACATGACATCTAGGTGTTCCAAATCAGAGGGCAAATAATGATATCAAAAAACGATTATTAAGAATGAGGGTTATGAAATKAGAAAAAAGTTTTTTACCTTTGCCATTGCCGTGGACGTTGCCTAGCTTACAGCAGCTTGAACTGGGTTTACAATTGAGCAAAGTGAAAGAAGAAATGGCTGAGAGAGATTGTGATAACTAGTAATGAAACTGAAATTCTGACAAGCGATGAAAGAGAACAAAGTTTACGCCGACATATTCAAAGAAGYGATGTAAAACACTGTTTTTGTTCTCTCAATTGACAAAATAACTAACGACAAATATTTTTGCTGTTTTCCAGTACTATAACAATTCTAATTGTCAAACATTTTAGAGATCTTTGCGAGTGAATATCCATAAAAAAAMCTAAACTTTTAAAAGCATACAACTGACATGGGCTGAGCCAATTTTMTGAAACAAAGAGAAAACAAAAATCATTTGATTAAAATTTAAAAAATTGTAAAAAAAGCCGAAAAATAATGAAGTAACGAGTATATTGCTTGCGATGTGTTTGTGGACCCCCTGAGCGGCAGTATGCCTTTTAGACAAACACCTCAATRATTTCCCTCCTCGTTAAAAATTCATTAAGTAACGATTCTTTTCAAAAAGTGGTTTTTGTCTTAAACTAAACTAGTAAGACCTGCAGTTGATTAGCTTCTGGGATGAGTTTTGTTGCTAGAGTTTTATCAGCTGATTTTAGTTGGACAATAGACCCATATGACCATCACTTGACAACACCCAACCAAGGATCTCTGTGTGGGGGAAAGAATGGCTGAAACACTTGTATAAAACTATATGAAACGGCTGTGGATAAAAGATTGAAAGGGAATAATGCTATATAGATGATAAGTCAGAGTGTTACTTGTTCTGGAACTGTTAGAATTAAAGAATGTTTCATCAAATGGATAAAAGAATGTTTGATCGAATGAAATTGAACGTTTTGCTCTTAACTATACAAGATAAGGATTATATGAAAGAGCTTGAAGCTGATATAGAACGTTTGATCGAATGAATAGGGGAAGAATGTTTGATCAAATGAATGATAAAAAGGATGGGATATAATATCAAGGTACAAACTGAATGTGCATTGTGACTGGAAAATGCCAAGTGGAATTAAAGAACACTTGATCAAATGAAACAGAACATTTCTTGTATGTCCAGGGCAATGATATGTCAGGAAAATAACACACACAAAAAACACAGGAGTCTGAAACTAAATGTCGCGAAATGGTGTAAACGCAAGATAGAATCAAACAAAAAAAACGTTGAATTGTACAGGACATGAACAAGACGATTCTGACTGAATTCGAATGTGAAATCAGTAAAAAGAACGTTTGACCCGCAGAAGAAAAGTGGAAACACGTTTTTGAACAGAGAAATGTATTTATAACATAATCAAGTATTATAAGGCGCTAAAGATGACAAACAGAATAGGTAAAAGTTTGACCAATTAAATAAATTATTAAAACATGTTAGCAGGATAGTTGCAGTGTAAAATTTACATCGATTTAAAGTAATCGTACCCTAACGTACAAACTACATATATACTGTACTTACATCCATGCTGTACAACATTTGATTGAAAGAATACATATTTACAATATTGAATGAGACAAGCAATTTGTAAAATGGGCTACATGGGTGAGAATCTTAATAAAAAATGAAATAAAGTTTCACACGATTCTACTGTATATATATGTATGCATTCAGGAAGTACTGACTAGAATCGACGAAATTTTGAGATTAAAAATTTGATATAAATATATATTTATAATGAATAATGAAAAAGGTTCCGTGTAAAAGACATAACTATCACATTGCAGTAAATATCGATATATGAATAAACTAAATGAACCATGATAGATGTGCATTAAAGATGTCAAAATATCACAATGAAGTAAAGGTGACTTTGAACTAAAATATTTTAGATTTTCAATGAATAAAGTATTTATCAATTCTCCCAGGAGATAAATGTTAATCCAGTACTGTGTATAAAAATCAACTTTAAAAGAAAGAGTTTATAAGAATAATGTTGGCAAATCTTTTTGTCTTGATCTATAGTTCTTTGTACTTCATTTCATAATTGCTGAATGTTATAATAAAGGCATRATTATGTATTGTCAAAAGATCAAAGAAACGTACTAGTGCATTGATCTTCCMTAGTGCTCTTTTACACCAAAAGATGACAAAACGTCCATACGTTTTCTAGTTTTTGCGGTGTATAATTTATCCGATAATCACGATTGTTTCATAAGAAACAACAAACAGATTTATCCTCTGCTTTTCACTGATGAATAGTCATAAATCTATGTAAAAAATGTTAAGGAAGAAGTCAATTTATATCATGAACGATAATGACAAGAGATACAAGAAATTGTCTGTGGTACACTAAGTGTCTGAGTAAAGATATTCACTCGTCCCATTTACTATTCTTCCATTTYATTTACACTCAATCACATTTGGCTTAGGCACACACAAAGAAAGAAAGTATGCAAACCTAGCGTAGTGAAACAACAACAAATGTTTCGAATCAAAAGTACAAACCAAAAGAGATGGGTTAGTAGATCAGTTTAGATTAGAATGATTTYATTTTCTTAAAATTTAAATCACTTTTTTTTTTTCAAAAAACTGTTATCACCGAAATACAAACATATGTTGAAAATGTGGGGTATTTTCAGTTAAAACGAAAGAGTTGACATACGATACAAACATCTTCTGCAATTAAACACTACACGATACGTGAATTAATGAATCTACTCACCTCTCTCATCCCAATTGAAATTGAAAGGATGAGAGAACGGGAATTCCCATAAGGCAAAGATGCTCTCTTCTCTGGCCTGAGATATGACATGAGGGTGCAGTCGACGTATGTTGTTGCTTTGTGTTCACCTGGATCTTATATATCGCTGCTTGTGATCAGACACCATCAATGGTTGTAGACAAACAAATTGCGGCAACTAGAATGGGATGACTTTGGTACTTAGTGTTATTAAGGTGTTGCGGACTTTCAAATTCGAATAATTCTCTGATATTTGATACATCTGCATACACGGGCTTTGATCGTGGTGTAGTTAGCTCGCTATTGATCGACCTGTATTACTAACTAACCACGAGTAGGCTACCGGCTTTTAGTAAAAAGGACATAATTTATTTTATTCTCTCTGGAGAACTCAGGTGTCAAAGAAAAGAATACCCAAAGAAAGACTTTTATTTTTAAAAGAAATTCCAAAGAATAACAATTAATCTTGCCTACAATAACAAACTTAGTTTTCTTTTAAAAACACTTTTTTTTGTAAACCTTTTGAACAAGATACAAACGCATGTTCGTCTTTTTTGGTATCAAAATTTCTTTTCTTCTTAGTTCTAATTTTTCTCTGAGATGTGAGCAATTCAAAAACGAAACTAGATATTCCTAATAAAATAATATAAGATGAAGCCATACGGATTTTGATATTCAAAATTTTAGGAAAATTAGACCGCAAGTCAACAGTCGATTCATCACTTCAAAAACGCCGCCTTTCTGAAGCGCCGACTATGTCAAAATGGCCTACGACCTTCAGAAGCACCGCTTAGCAGCTATCCGATCGCAATAAATATTGTTTATGGGTTTCCTTTTCGGCATGTTATAATTGTTAAGCTCTACCGCGTTCCGTGTTCCGTCCTCATCCAAATGGAATTACATCAAATGATTTGAATGTACGCTCACGGATGATATTATATTCTAAATTTGACAGACGCACTTCAACGTATTGCGAGCCATGAAACTCAAAATACTCTTCAATTGCAGCACGTTGCGTCCTACTTGCAAACTATCAATATATAACTGCACAAGTGGAGTGTTTTAAGTCAATAATCAAATGCAGTAATTCTAGATCTAATTGAGAGAGGAGTTTATAACTTAGATGACGTTTTAACGYAAAATGAGAAAATCGTCTATAATTGATCTGGGTATAAATTATTAATACGTAAACTGCTTGCTGGACAGTTTGAAGCCGTTTTAATACGTAGAAACTTTACGCAAGGCTTACGCTAGCAAGAMATGGAGATAAAGGAAATAGTGCCGTTTTTTATTGAATTTTTATATTTTGATAAGGGTTTAAAGTTCTCGTTCCTGGTCAACTATCGCGTAAACCAAGACCTCATTCCCATTTCCTGACGACGGATTACTAAACCGYTGCTACAGGCGTAATGCGTCTCTGCGGCAAGAGAACCGTTACTAAAATGCTATCCAAGCATTGTGGACAGAATAAAACG